CTTCTCCGGCCGCAGCCAAGCCCCGCCGAGCGGAGCCGGGAGAGCTGGGGGCGCAGCAAGGAGCCCCGCTCCCCTCGCTTCTCTGCCCAACCGGTGTCACCTCCCAAGTCCCCATCCGTGCCCATTCTGGTCCCCTGCTGGACTGCATCTCCCATCATCCCTCCGCCAAGGGGAGCACAGGGCACCAGTTATTATTATTATTATTTTGGATGATGGGCCGTCTCCAGAAACCGAGGTTTATTTACTATTCCAGAGACCCACAGAAGGACCGAATCCTGATTTCCTGGAGAGTTCAGTGAGTGCGTCAGAACCAAGCCAGCATCTTCTTGGCACCTCCAGAGACTCACAGATTCAATGTGGCAGAACCTCTTTCTTTCTTTCTTTCTTTTCTTTTAATGGGCCCTTGTAGCAGATGCAGGAAATCTAATCTTTGTGGCCAAGAAAGGGGAGGTCCCTGTCTGTGGGTTTCTTGGCTCCCAGATTTTTTTTGGAAGTCTGAAGGAGGCCGGGAATAACCTTGCCATATGCGGGATGTCTCCTGGAAGGGGTGAGGCAGCCTCTTCATGAAGCCCTGCTTCCATCATCCTGATAGTTTTAGCTTCCCACTAGCCCCAAATGGACCAAAACAGCCTGCCCTGCCCCGGTGTGATAATGCAGCTCCCATCATCCCCAGCCACTCTTACTGGCTAGCGGAAAATGCTATCTATGCAGTAACTAAAGCTTTGAACTTCCAGCAAGGTAACAAATACTGTACAGAAGTTGTTCCGTTGAGACAGGCTTGCACTAGCCTCAGATCACTTCCCACTGAGTAATCCTATGGAACGATGTGCAAGATTTCCACGCAGTGGGTGCTTGCCTTCTCCATTTCAGGATATGCCCATGCATATAATTCAGGTTGCAACTTTAATCATCCGTTATTTGTTGCAAAATCAATCTCAGTAGTTAGCATTAAAGAATAATGACCAACAAACAGTAGTAAGGTCAGAGTCGTGAATGATCGTGCCACTTTTAGATCAAACAGGAATGTTGTATCATAGGTTTACGTTCTTTGTTCCAGCTAGGGTGTTTATGCACCACTAGGCTACCGGCGTCGCTTCCCTGGGGGGGTACCTAAAACCCTGTTTTTTCATGTAAACTTTTTGTAAAAGTAGTCATTTGAGGGAGGAGAATGTTTGCCAAGCCATGAACGGTTTGACTTGAAAAGCTTGAGGCTGCCGGAGGGGCGTCCCTGGAGGTTGCCATCTTAGTTCAAAGGTTCCCCCCTCCCCGTCGGGGTCAGGGGGGCTCTCTCCATGTGCCGCAGTTACATGCGGCATGCCCTTGTTTATCTGATTTGGATGCCATATTTCCCCCAAAATCAAGACTCGAGGATTAGAAACAGGCGGGGATAAAAACGCAGGAAAGCTCTTTTGGAAACAGTCAAGCAAAGGGCTGTGTTTCAAAACACTTGCTCTGGAAGCAGTTTTGAAAAGCACAGCGCCTGACACCGGTTGAGCTTCTTTGAAACAAGATGGCAGCTGAGTGGGGGGGGAACCATAACCCCCCCCCCCCGCAATGATCTTGAGGGAGGTGACATGTTGGCATTTAGGAAAGGAGTCCGCCTGGGGACTCTGGAAGAAAGAGAGAAGGTGGTTTTTCAGCTTAGGGGATGCTAAATGCCCCCATCCATTCCCCAACTTTTGTGTCTGCCATTTGGGGGGGAGGTTGTCGTCCTTTCATTTTGGTCGGGGTACCTGATGTGGCGGGTTGGGGAGGGTATCCCTGCGGCTTGCAACCATGCTTTTTTCCAGAGTCCACCTGCTTCTTACTTTTTTAACTGCCCTGCTTTTGTGAGCAAAGGTTGGGCTGCAAACAGAGTTTGGAAAAGTTACTTTTTGGGACTGCAGAGTCCCCCTGGTCAGCCCTGAGACCTGACCCCCTGTGGACCCTTTGCAGCAGCAGCTCCTCATGTGGTTGCAAAGGTTTTCATCTGTGTGCCATACTCGGTGCAAAACCTTGAGCAAGCATCCACGTGGTTATGTGGGCGTGGCTGGAAGCCTTGAACCCACTTTGGGGGGGGGGAGGCACATCACACAAACAGCCCGGTGGGCTGTTAAGGGGGGCGTTGCCATGCATGACTGGTTATGATTCTGTGAGCAGGCCGGCCTTGCTTTGCCCCCCCACCCGCCGGCTCTCCACCCTGTGCACCCCATATCTTCTCTGGGGTCAACCAAAATGCCACAAAATGTGTGCAAGGTTTCAGGTTCCACAGAACTCTTTATCAGGGCAGGTGGTGCAAAAAAGCAGGACTGGAAAAAGAACAAAGACTTCCAAAATGTAGGCCAGGTACGGCAGCCTTTGCACGCGTGTCGGAATGGAGGGAGGCCGGCCGAATTAAAGACGCTTAATCGACCCTGTATAGCGATGGCATTCTAATGCCACTTTAGCAGCCCCCCTCCCCAAATCCTGGAATCGATGTTTTGGTGAGGTGATTCGAATTCTGCACTCTATCAGATAACCAGCTGAATACTTACATAGGATGATTTCTATTTTGTTGCTGCTAAATCTGCTTTTTTGGTAACTTTTCTACCTAACATTTTCAAATATATTGTTATTAATTCTTCTTCCACATTTGAAACATTTACTGTTTTTAGCCTTTTAACATTGTGGCTTTTGAAGATAGGCGTGGCTGGAAGCCTTGAACCCACTTTGAGGGGGGGAGGCACGTCACACACAGCCCGGCGGGCTGTTGGGGGGGGCGTTGCCATGCATGACTGGTTATGATTCTGTGAGCAGGCCGGCCTTGCTTTGCCCCCCCACCCGCCGGCTCTCCACCCTGTGCACCCCATATCTTCTCTGGGGTCAACCAAAATGCCACAAAATGTGTGCAAGGTTTCAGGTTCCACAGAACTCTTTATCAGGGCAGGTGGTGCAAAAAAGCAGGACTGGAAAAAGAACAAAGACTTCCAAAATGTAGGCCAGGTACGGCAGCCTTTGCACGCGTGTCGGAATGGAGGGAGGCCGGCCGAATTAAAGACGCTTAATCGACCCTGTATAGCGATGGCATTCTAATGCCACTTTAGCAGCCCCCCTCCCCAAATCCTGGAATCGATGTTTTGGTGAGGTGATTCGAATTCTGCACTCTATCAGATAACCAGCTGAATACTTACATAGGATGATTTCTATTTTGTTGCTGCTAAATCTGCTTTTTTGGTAACTTTTCTACCTAACATTTTCAAATATATTGTTATTAATTCTTCTTCCACATTTGAAACATTTACTGTTTTTAGCCTTTTAACATTGTGGCTTTTGAAGATATAAGCCACCTTGGGCCCCTTTTAAGGAGAAAAGCAGGAGACACGTGTCTTAAATAACACAAATCGTAAAGTAAATAATGCAGGAGAGAGTTCACTGGATTTCTCTGCCAGCCCCTCAGAAGCATCCCCGTGGATCTTGGGATGCAATATGGAAGCCAGGGTGGCATCACACAGCAGCAGGAGGAGTTCCTCGAAAAAGCCCTGTTTTTTTCCACAGGAAGCACACTGTTTGTCCTGAGGGAAGTGTGTCCCCCCCCTTACATGTGAGGCAGGAGACAATCTCATCCCCCCCCCTCGGAGCATGGCGTCTCATCCTCCCTCTGTTTTCTAGAGGAA